GTAGGTGTTTTTTTATGTTCAAGGTACTGTACAAAAGTAAATTGTAGTTGTGTTCAATATTTTATACCTTAAATAGTACAACAAACACATTTTGTTCTTTTCAGATTGATACAAACAAAGACCGATTGATATCTGTTGATGAATTTTTAACTGCTTCTGAAAAGAAGGAGTTTGTGGATGCAGATAATTGGGAGGTAAGGAGTCACATAACACAAATGAAAAAGTTCTCATTTAATCTGTGATTTGATCACAACCATTATGGTTTCTGGTTGTTGGTTAGCGTGAGGGAAATGAACACTTTTTTTCATTTCTTGCATGATAGCCTGTCTGTAATATTGCATTAGTTATAGCTCAGTTTTAAGTTTTCCTTTGTTGAATAGAAATTTATTGTCATTGTACTTTTACATGAAAAATACAGTGAAAAGTTTTATAAGTCGTCCCACCACAGTACCTACATCAATTTCAGAAGTCATAATAATAAAACAGAAGTAAAATTAGGACAGAGTTCATGACTGTTCAGTTAAAAGCTCCTGGGCTCTGGGAAGGCCGATTAAAGGAACGATGCAATACCTTGAAGATGTAGCCGGGACGATACCGCCATGCCAGGCCATTGGAATGCTGGGCTGGAAACCTATGTCAAAGGTGACCACCATGCTGGACCGAGGTGCTATGCTATGACGAGACTGCTACTACTACTTCAAGTGCTCAGGCCTAGCTGTGGATCTGGAGCCTCAGCCTAGCCTGCAATCCTGGACCAGGGGAGTCAGACCGGGACCTGTTCCTTGCTCCCTGGGAGACACTGTGCTGGGGTAGAGCAGTGTCTGTCTCGTCCTAGTGTTGCTGCCGCTGCCACTGGAGATTTCTTCCTTCACCCACCACTCTCCAGGCTTAAAAGAAAAGAAAAAGAAGAAAAAATAGAGAGAATGCTGGCCAGACTGGACGAGCCCCAAACTGACCCCACCTACTCTGCCGCCATCTTGAAATTGCTCTGTGACAGTAAGATTGTACCACTAGCAGTCTTGGGAAAGTAATGGACTTTTGGGGAAATAGAACAGGATGGTACTGCTCAATCACTTGACTTTCTGAATCTTATTATGTTTATTAAAGATGACTGGACAAAGAAATGAACCTATCTCATTATTTTAAAATTGCTAGTAATTGTGAACTAACTAAACTTCATGGAATTAAAGTCAAAATAATTAGCAGTTGGTTAACTCTTCCTTTCTTTCATAACCAGTAGTTATTTGTAGGTTGTGAGATGCTTGTCTATTTCATTTCCTTGTGCTTTTATTGCATACTGTTGTTCAGACTCTAGATGAACAGGAGCTTTATTCAGAAGATGAGCTGCAAGAGTTTGAAAGACGACTGTCTCAGCAGGAGCATGAACTGCAAATGAAATCCGATGATCTTTTGAAACAGCGTGAAGCACTGCAGCTTCAACAAGACCAGTTGCAAGCTCAGAAATTTGAGTTCCAGCAGGTAAACCTTTTTGTGTTTATTTGAGTTCTCCTTAAATGCAGCTATTCTATTCGCCTCATCTACTCCTTTTGCCAGTGAGTTCCAGATTCTAACTGTTCTTTGCTGATGAACTTAAGGACTGAGAGAGTTCTTGGCCTAAAAGTTTTAGCCTTGTAAATTGGGTATGATCTTTGGTCAGGAGAGGACGCTGGTTGCCTTCTGAACTCACGACAAGAAATAGAACCTATGTACAGGCAAATGTGACAGTAACCATCCTAGATTATGAGGCAGTAAGACTTAAGGGGAATGGCTTCCAGAGCTTTAGGATTGAAGGTCTGGCTGCTATTAAGTAATTAAAAATGTGAATGCTGAAGTGGCCAGAATTGGAGGAGCACAAAGTATAGAGCTGGGCCGTGAAGCATTTTTATGTGAGGTTGATGTAAAATCAGGAGGTTGGAACATACAGTTGCATTTTATTGCTGCTGCAGTTGAGGGGAATTCTGGTGAATACAAAAATCAAGCACTGAAACAGCATAGAAATAGCTATTTCAGCTCATTTAAATTCTCTGCTTGGGAGACAACCATCTCACCTGCCAGCTGCCTCCTGAGCCTGGTTGTATAGAATTCTGTTCAAATTTCCTTCATGTTTCACACCAACCAAAGATTTTCCACCCAGTCTAAGCAAAAGCCAACTCTTTTAAGTTGCTGTAGCCGCGCAAAAAATCTTATGTCGCCACATGCTTAAGGGAGTGTCCAAAAGGATTGAAGAATATAGCAGCAAGGGAATGACTGACCACCAGGCAGACATTGTGAACTCCGGCCTGTTTAATTTGGATTCTTTTAAGAACTCAGTACATGTAGTCTGAAAGAAAGGTATACATGGGGAAGTGATCATTTAAAAATTAACCATGGTGCAACCAACTGAGGGCTAGGTGAATAAGGAAGGGGAGCCAGTTCATTTCTCACCTGGGGGCTTAGTAGGTTGGGGTATCCCATTTGGAACTATAATGAATTGTGGAACTGCACCCAAGGATCTAGTTGTAACCATGTAAATGCATGGAGTATAGGAAATAAGACTGTGGAGTTACGGATGCAAATTGCTATTTTGAAATATGATGTTGTGGTCATAAGAGATCTAAGTCAATAAAGAGCAAGACTTCACTGGGGAATTGAAGCTTCAATGGAGAAGCATTTTGGGAACAGTTATCACAATTCTCCAAGTTTCAAGATAGGTATAGATAAGGATAAGACTGGTCCTCAGGTGAAAATGCTAAATTGGGTAAGGCTAATAACAAGCGTAGAGGCAGGAACTAGAGAAATTAGACTGAGGGAAACTGTTTGAGGGTAAATCCACATCTGACGTGGGAGAGTTAGTCAGAGTTCAGGATCAACATGTTCCTGTAAGGATGAAAGGTAAGGATGGCAAGATTGGAAAAGTTGGGTGATAAGTGATATTGAAAGATTAAGGAGAATGCCAAAGTGTGTGTGTGTGTGTGTGTGGGGGTGTATATATATTTAAAAGGAGCAGGAGGGTATCTAGGGATTAGAGAGAGGTAGATTAATATTCTCGGCATTGAGGAGGAGATGGTGTTGGATGTCTTGAGAAACATTAATGTAGATAAACCCTGATGGGATTTATCCCAGGTACTGAAGGAGGCAAAGGAGGACATTGTTGAGGCCTTGGCAGAGATCTTTGTTTCCTTTTTAGGCACAGACAAGGTCTCAGAAGACTGGAGACCAGCCAATGTTGCTCCTTTGTTCAAGAAGGTCAAAGGGATAATCTAGGAAATTTATAGGTTGGTGAGCTTTATATCACTAGTAGGGAAATTATTGGAGAAGATCCTTAGGGACATGATTTACTCACATTTGGAAAAAAATGGACTTATTAGGTATAGTCAGCAAGATTTTGTACATGAGAGATCTTGTCTCACAAATTTGATTGCTTGTTGAGAAAGTCATGAAGGTGATTGAGGTAGGGCAGTGGATGTTGTCTACATGGACATTACTAAATTACATGGACAAGGTGTCTCACTGTCGGATGATCCAGAAGATTAAGTCCACAGTGATTTGGCAAGTTGGCTTGGCCATAGAAGACAGTGGGTAGTTGTGTTGGGGTGTTTCTGTCTGTAACCAGTGGTGTTCCACAAGGCTCAGTGCTGGGACCCCTTTTGTTTGTAATATATGTAAATGACTTCCATTAAAATTTAGATAGTCTGATTAGTAAGTTTGCAGATGATACAAAAATTGGTAGAGCTGTGAATAGTTCAGAAGGTTGTCAAAGGATAAAGCAGGATATAGATCAGTTGGAAAGTTGGATGGAGAAATTGCAGATGGAATTTAGTCTGGATAAGTGTGAAGTGATGCATTTTGGGAGGTCAGATGCAAGAGGAAAGTGTAAGTAAATGGCAGTACCCTTAGGGATGTTGATAGACAGGGGGATCTTGAGGTTAAGTCCATAGCTCCCTGAAAGTGATAACACAAGTGGACAAGTTGATAAAGAAGGTGTACAGCATGCTTGCCTTCATCTGTCAGGGCATTGAGTGTAAAAGTTGGCAAATCATGTTGCAGATGTAGAAGACTTTAGTCAGGCCACGTTTGAAGTATTGTGTGCAGTTTCGGTTGCCTCATGATAAGAAGGATGTGGAGGTTTTTGAGAAGGTGCAGAAGAATTTTACAAGGAGGTTACCTGAGTTGGAGCGTATTAACTGTAAGGAGAGTTTGGACAAATGTGGACTGTGTTTACTCTAGCATTGAAGGCTGAGTGGTGACCTGACAAAAGTTTTTAAAAAAAGACATGAGAGGCATGGATAGGACAGATAGTTGAAATAATTTTCCCTCAGTGGAAATGTCGAATACAAGGGGGCATAGTGTTCTGATGAAGAGTCACCAGACTCTAAACATCAGCCCTGCTTTCGCACCACAGATGCTGCCAGATTTGCTGAGGTTTGCTAGTAATTGCTGTTTTTATGACTAGGGGGCATAGCTTAAGAGGAGAGAGAGATGTTTAAAGATGTGTGTGGCCAGTGTTTTGCACAGTAGGTGCGTGGAATGTGCTTCGACGGGAGGTGCTAGAAACAGATCGAATAGCATCACTTAAGAGGCATTTAGACAGGCATATCAACGTCAAAGCTCAACGTATGAGTAACATTTGAGGACTTCGGGTCTATACTCGATGGAGTTTAGAAGGATGAGGGGAATCTAATTGAAACTTACAGAATATTAAATGGCCTGGACAGAGTGGATGTTGGGAAGATGTTTCCATTGGTAGGAGAGACTAGGACCCGAGGGCATAGCCTTAGAGTAAAGGGAAGACCTTTTAGAACGGAGATAAGGAGAAACTCTTTAGCCAGAGAGTGGTGAATCTATGGAACTCACTGCCTCAGAAGGGAATATTTAAAACCGAGATAGATTGATAGGTTCTTCATTGTCAAGGGGATCAAGAGTTACGGGAAGAAAGTGGGAGAATGGGATTGGGAAACTTATCAGCCATGATTGAATGGCAGAGCAGACTTGATGGGCTGAATGGCCTAAGTTCTACTCCTATGTCTTATGTAGGAAATAGAAAGATATGGACCATATGCAATAGATGAAATTAGTTTAGAATGGCATTGTGGTTGGCACAGACATGGTGGGCTGAAGGACCTGTACTATTCTATGTTCTACCTTTTATGTAAGAATGGCTGTTAGGTATTCCTGGGTACAAGATGTTTGGAAAAGTTGGGAAATGAAGTAAAGGAGGAAGGGTGGTGCCTTTGGTTATGGAGATTGTTGAATTGTTGGAGAAAGCAGATGTCCCAGAGGGTTCGATGACAGTCAGTTTGGCCAGACATAAGACAGAAAGGGCACAATTAAATTCAGCAGTGCATTCTATAAGACCACCAACTGATGAGAACAGATCTTCAGGGACATTACAGGGAGATGCAAACATTATGGTATAGTTACAATGGAGGACTTAAACTACCCAAATGTAGATAAGAACAGAGATGGCATAAAGGGTGAGGAGGAACAAATCATCCATTGTGGTCAGGATAGGTTTCTACAAAAGTACACAAAAAATCCAACTATAAAGGGGAAACTGTTGGAACTGTTTCAAGACAATGAGGTAGGACAAAGTATCATTGGGGAACATTTAGGAGATGATGTTCATTGCATCCTAAGACAGGATGATGTATAAAAGGACAGTAGGTAATTCAGAGTCAGCATAGCTTACCTGGGGAGAGCCAGTTTGCGTGGGGTAAGATTAAAGCTGGAATGAGAGATTGGTGAGAAGCTGTAGCTGAACAGTAGGTTTTGTAGTGGAGATCCCTAAGAGTTTGTATTTGGGAACTTTGCTTTTCCTGATATATATTAATGGTCTAGATATTAGTGTGCAGGGATAATTTCAAGTTTGCGGATGATACAAAACTTGGAAGCATTGTAAACTGTGAGGAGGATAATGTAGAATTCCAAAACGACAGAGACAAGTTGGTGGAGTGGATAGGTATGATAGATGAAGTTCACTGCGGAGAAATGTGAAATAATGTGTTTTGGTAGGAAGAACATGGATAGTTAATATAAAATAGTGGACTCAATACTTAAACAGGTGCGTGGGGAGGTGATGGCCTAGTGGTATTATCACTGGATTGTTAATCCAGATCCCCAGATAATGTTCTGGAGACCCGGGTTTAAATCCTGCCATGGCAGATGGTGGAATTTGAATTCAATTTTTAAAAAAAATCTGGAATTAAGAGTCTAATGATGACCGTGAATCCATTGTCGATTTGTTGGAAAAACCCATCTGGTTCACTAATGTCCTCCCTTTAGGGAAGGAAACTGCCATCCTTACCTCGTCTGGCCTACATGTGACTCCAGACCTACAGTGATGTGGTTGACTCTGAACTGCCCTCTGGACAATTAGAGATGGGCAGTAAATGCTGCCAAGCCAGCAACGCCCTCATCCTGTTAATGAATAAGAAGTGCTGAGAGATCTGGATCTGCATTGAAGGTGGTAAGACAAGTGGAGAGAACAGTTAAGAAAGTATACAGTTTCCTAGGTTTTATTATTGGGACATGGAGTGCAAGAGAAAGGAGGTTATCCTTAAACCTGTCCAATATACTTATTAGACCTCAGCTGGAGAATTGTGTCCTGTTCTGAACGCCATACTAACATGAAGGATGTGAACCCATAGGAGAGAGTACAGAAGAGGTTTACAAGAATAATTGAAAGGATGAGAAACTTCAGTTACAAGGACTGTCAGAGAGAATGGATCTGTTCTCATTTGAGAGATGAAGACTAAGAGGAGATCTGATAGAAGTTTCAAAATCATGAGTGAGAAAAAATTATTGCAGATAGGTTGATATGGAACAATGCAACATATAGCACTGTCCTTGATTGATGTCTCACTTATGAATAAGTGTTTCCTTTGATGTTGATCAACAGCACAAGACTCAGATTCTAAAAAATGCCTCTGGTAGAAATTTGAATGATGAACACAAAAAAAAAACTGAGCCCATTATTTGGATGAAGAACTGGATTTTTTTCATCACCATCTAGATCTGGGACTGCTTAAAACATTGAAGTAGAAAAATACCCACGCTCTTGCATCTGCATTACCCACTGATCAATTCAATGGCCGTTGATTAGTTGTAGAAGCTGGATGGGATTTTGTTGTGCTCTCTGTGATTGCTAGTTAGCTTCTTGGGCAAACTTATCACAAAAACTGTAACTTCTAAAATACGTTGACTTGTTTTAATATCAAATCTAATAGGCTGTACAGCATCTGGAGCAGCAAAAACAGACACAGCAGGCTCATCCTCCAGCAGGACCGAACGGAGAACTCCAGTTCCACCAAGGTTTGTAACTTGCTGTTAAGACCATGTGACCAATAAATTGTTTATCTGCTTTCTTTTGCATAGTTGTGCTTAAATGGCTATTTAATAGTCTGATGCAAAATTTTCTTTCTCTTATTTACATCACCAAACGTAAGTTGTTTTGATGTGAAACTAAAAGAAAAGAAATGCCACACCTATCACTTTCTCTAAATCTATTATGTTGAAAATAAAATCTTCAATGAAAGAGATTAGAGGAGCAAGAGAATTTGGTACAGAAGGTGTTTATACATGCATCAGTAAAAGATGATGCACAGATGCAAAAATGTTATCAAAGGTCAGTAAACAATGGACTTATAATCACGGGGAATTTGGAACAAAAACTGAGATAATGCTATTTCACGGGTACAGTGCAATCATCAGGCCCCATCAGGAGGATTGTATTCAGTCTTTGACATTGCACCTTTTAAGAAGGATAGATCATCCTTGTTGTGAGCATAGCTCAAATTCAGAATACCAGAATTTCAAGTTCATCTATGAGGATTGGTGGATAAATTTGGCTTGTTTCTCTTGCCTTTGACTATTGTGGGGTGATCTAACTAATTAAGTTAATGAGGTAGATACAAAAGTTTTATTTCTTCAGTTGGAAAAGTCCAGAACAATGAGAGAGAATCGTAGAGTTAGATCTTTGAGTGAAATCTGAATGTAGTTTTTCACACAATGCATTGAAAATTGGAATTCTCTTCCCCAAAGAGGCTTTAATTTCTTGGTCATTTTTCAAGACTGAAATCAACAGATGTTTTTTGGGAAGGGTATAAAGGAATGAGATTAATGGTAGGCAAACAGAGTTGAGCTCCATATCACCCTCTATCTAACTGAAAATGATTTCTAATCAATTTTTTTGGACAAATTATTGCATACCTCCAGGGCAGGGGAAACTTGTGCTCTGATATTCTAGCCCAGAGGTAAGGACATTACCACTGTGACACAAGCACATTGATCTACAAGAATGAAATGACAATTCCAAAATGCTGAATGATCCACACCTTAATCTGAGTTCCGAAATAAAATAAAATTGTCCACTTCCATCAGTGGAAATGAATAGATATTTTCTAATCAACCTGTTGAATGATATTATGATATACCATGGAGTCAGTGAGACTTGAACCTGTACCTCTTCAAAGTCAAAAGTCACATGGCAACAGGTTTATTTGAAATCACAAGCTTTTGAAGTGCTGCTCCTTCGTCAGGTGAAGTGTTTTTGTTTTTGATTCTAACCTGGTGTTGTGTGACTTCTGATTTTGTTCACCTTAGTCCAACACCGACACCTCCACATCCAGGTGCAAATGTATAGACACTACCACCTGTTCAGAGATGTTATCCAGTGGAAATGAATAAGACAAAGTGTGAAATACTCACACCTGTATTGCATTAGCATTCAATATATCCAACTGGCTCCAGTGGATTAAATCTTCAGCAGTTGTCCGGGCAAGCACCATGCTGACAGCAATATTTGAAGGCCCTGTGTTGCATATTTGGTGGTGTTGATTTCCTCTTGTGCTGAAATGTTAACTTGCTGATCTTGGTTGTGTTGCATATTTGCTTTCGTAGAAAAAGAACACGCAGCTCCTCCAGGAAATGTGCAAGCTATGCCTCCAGGCCATGATCAGCCACAAGATTTAAACCAACCAGCACCTGGTCAAGATCAACCTCAACAATAATCACTGTGCTTCCAGGATTTGGACTGGCACATGAGTTCCTGATTGGCTTTTTGGGTCCAAATGATCATTACTCCAATCCAATAATGTTTTTATTGCTGTTTATTCCTGTTAATATTGCACATTACGCAGAGACCACTGACTGCAAGCATTTTCTTCAAGGGGTTACTGAAACACTTGTGCAGATATTTCATTATACAACAAAAGTGATTTACTTATGATAGTGAGTAGAATTCACTTGAAAGCCCTAAACTGAGATCTGAACTGATTACTTTTGAATTGTAATAGAATAGAATAGCTGCAACTGAGCATCTGGAAAAATATTTTCATCCTGTTGTTGTAGTTCCTTTGTGGGATATTGGAGAGAATGCTTGGTGTATTAATTAAAATTGAGATGGTTCCTGGGATTTGGTTAAACATTTGGGTTAGTATTTTAGGCTTGTAATTAGAATAGCTATTCATTTTATACGTGAGGTATTGTGTTAAAGATTGCAGAGTATGATCACTGCTGGTCTGTCTTCTTGGCTTTAGCTATCTCCGGCTACAATTAATCTCTTTCAGTCTTGGTCGTCAATGCCATATCTTGGTTAACATTGTTTTGGAATGATTATGTCAGCTGGAAATGTAAAGGGGTGGGCTTTTATTCAAGTACACACACTTTGAATCCTTTTTTCAAGTTTGATTATTTTGAAATGTTGATTCATCCTTCTGTTGATGGTTTTGGGTGCATATTAGGTGTGCTGCTTATAATTGTGTTTGGTTATCTAAATATTTTCGGTACTTTTAACTTCTTGATTTGTTACTAATTACCCTGCCAGTCTGAGGGCTGGAGACAATCCTCTTAATAGAAATTCTGTGTCTCTTTCCATAGTTGCCCAAGTTGGATTTAAATTCATACAGTTGCCATAGCTGATATCCAAATCTGTTGATAATCCAAAAGCAATACAAAAATACGAACTGGCTGTTACAAGTTGCCAAATTGCAGCTACTAATTCAGCAACTGCCAGCACATTTTTTAATTAATAAGAGAAGCTTATTAATATCTCAATGCATACATTTTAAGCTAAAGATAACTAGAAAAATGCTTATTGTGATGTGTATGGGTGTTTTGTTTTGATGATGGACTGCTTCTATTCATGAACTTGTAGAGTTTTAGGTTCTGGGCATTTTGGACTTGTTAAAGATCACCAGCATTTGTTGGCTATTAGTAATGTATCAACATACACAATAGAACCACCAAGTACAAGTTTCTTCAAAAACTAAGTGTATGATCCTTGCCAAGATGTATGTTATTTGTATAGGAGCCAATGCCCATTTGCCTTCCTTAGCATAGTTTAGTTTATCTGGATACTTTTTTGCCTCAGTGGCAATGCAGGTTGTCATAATGCACAGATTAACAGTTATGTAGTCGTATTGAATGTTGCATTTTATCATGTGTAAGCTATTGGTTGAATAACACAGAATACCTGAAAAATTATAGACTGATTTTTTTTTTAGCATTTCCAGATTTAGTTAATTTAGAAAAGCTGCTTCTCACAGCACTTTGGGTTCTGACTAACTAGTTGTCTTAATGAATGTCATTGTCAAACAATTAAATCATCAATGCATTGTTATAGTCATGTGGGTAAGGATTTGCAATGCAATATGCCCTCAACTTGTTAGATTTAGCTGTGCCAATTTGAGGAAAAATCAGTTGAAGTCCAGCTATTCTGCCGCAGGAATGAGGTTTACACTGCATACAGGTCAGTTTCAGAATGGTGCTGGCAGCAACCTGGAAAGTCTTCTTTCTTCTTAACAACAAAAAGTGCTGCATGTTGGCCATTAAGTGATATTTGAAATATATTTGGAAGTTAGGATTTACACAAATGAAATACTGCAGATGTTGGAGATCTGAAATAAAAATTACACGCTGGAAAAACTTAGGCCTGGCTGAAAGAGGAACAGAGTTAAAATTTTAAATCCAGTATGTTTTCTTCAGAACTTAGGAACAATGTAATGATTTTAATGCTGTCGAAAAGAAGGCGGGTGGAAGATAAGGATGGAATTCTGTGGAACAGAAGAGAATATCAGGGATATTAATTCTAGTTTTATTGACAAATTGATATTGCTGCCATGAGTGGTTGAGCGGAGTTTGAACTGATGTCATGAACCAGTTAATAGCTAGGAGCATCTTGAGTGAGAATCAGCAGTCAGTGAGAGCAGAGGAAGCTATGAAGATAACACATGGGACAGTTGAATTGACAGTTCAGAACACTAGACTTCTAATATGTGTTTCCAGGAATTGATGTAGCCTTTAAGATTGGATGAAAGACAAAGTAATGCACTGGGTTGAATTGTAGCCTCTAATCTTGAAGCCTGGACTTCAGTCCACTGAGGCTGAAGATCTGCTGGTCAGTGAAAGTCCAATGTAAGATAGGGTTGGTAATTTGACTGAATTTCTAGTAGGTAGTTTCAAATGTGTGGATTCGCAGCACAAAATTGCCCCTACTGTAATAGTAATTGGCACTGTCAGTCACTGGCTGATGTGAGAAATATAAAATGTTACATAAATATAGCCAGTGCTTTTGAAGTGTCTTTGGGTGAAAATAAACATTTCAGACACCGAGGGGGTCCTGTATTCTGAATCTAACTATATCGCACCTGACATGGGAATGCGTAATATTGGCACTGAGTATCTAAATTCGTAATGTATTAAATAATTTAGCATCACATCTTCAGCTTGCTAAAGTATAAAACTCACTAAGTTATGAAAATGCTGTTTTTTTTTTACCTGAAGATGAAATGCCCTTCAGTTTAATTATGTAACATATTCAACATTTCTTGATTTAAGAAATACAATGGTTCATTGTCTACTTACCAGGCAAAGCCTTTCCAAAGAGATCTGTGCTACTACTATGTGTACAAGTGTTCAATTGTAATTTGAAATCTGTTAAGCATTAGTATTCAAACTTAAAGTTATTGTCTTAGCCCCACAGTATCAGTTCTGAGAACATATTTTAAAATGTGTTGCAGATGTGTTTTTATTTGACTATTGTCCTAATTTTGTTTTGTGGTGCAATATTTGTAGATGAAATTTTTTCAGTTCTATTAATTTCTTTGTAAGATTGGTTTATAAAAGAATTGTATTTGAGCATAAATCAAAATATTTAAATTACTTGTACCCTTTTCTTTTCAGTAAGCCATTTATACCTTCTAGAACATTTTTCGGTCCTGGCCACTACACCAGGCCGTCTACAGGTATTTCTGCTATAACGCATGTTTTGTTGATGCACATTGGCTGTGACACAATTGATGAATAATGGATGCTGTTTGGATAACATGAACTGTCTGCTGTACAGTATAGGATTTTCTATAATGCAATTTTCCAAAGCAACTTTCTATCGCGTGACGTCACACAGGAACGCAACTATCATGTTATGAGAGAAAAAACTGTACAAGGAAATGCAAAATGCAGGTATGGACAGCTAAATAGCCTCATCACCAGCAGATCAACACAGATCTATAAAGCACCCAAATCCAGTTGTTTTTGAACAAGTAGGCAACTAACGGGAGAGAAGCAACTCTGTGAACGTCTCCATCCTCAACAATTGTGAAATCAACTATGTGTTCTAAAAAAAAACAAGGCTGAAGTGGTTATAAAAATCTTCAATCAAATATGTTAACTGATTATCCTAACTTATTTCTGCTTGAGGTTCCTACCATCATAGATGGATGTCCAGCTGGTAGATTTTAATATGGATTAAAACATATCTTGTGGGGGCCATATAGGAATTTAGAGATGAGACCATGATGTGATAAGTGATGGTCTTGGTCTTATTCTTGTGGAGCCAGCATGAGGAGCTACATGACCTCCCCTTGTTTCTTGCATTTCCTGTATCACATTAAGAAACTGCTAAATGCGCTAAATACAGAAAAGGATGTGAGTTTTGGCAATATTAGGATACTTGAATACCTGTGCACCAGTTCTAGGTGCTTCCCCAACCAGGCTATCGTTATGATATTGGCTTTTGAAAAGCACTGTGAAATGTTGTTGAAGTATTCTTTCCATTTTAAAAAAAAAAAATTAATTCTCTCCAGCTCATTTACATTATCATCAGCCTCTTCCCCTAACCTGGAAACCTAATTACAGAGCAAAATCATCTGGGGAATCCTTGCACTCCCTGCCTAGTTCTCTTGAACTGCCAGGTGGTCACCCATTTCCCTTCATGCCCTAAAGCATCTATTCATATTATCATCATCTTTGCAGACGCACAATGATGACTCCAACCACTACTTGAACTTTGAACCCAGAACTTCGGTTCCTGATGCTTCCTGCGCATGTGCTGGTTCCTAGGCAATGTTAAGTGTTTATGACTCCCCGACACACGATGGGACTAGTTTTCAAGGGACTGAGCTTCCCTGCCATAATGTGAGCTTAATTTTGACCTATTTAAAACAAACTAGAGATGAGAGTAGAAAGTAGATATACTCACCCTTACTGTGCAATCATCATCTTCTCCTGCATCTACAAATTAGATACTTGAGAATAAGAAGTAATTAGTACAGTATTGAAATGCCTTTTTCTTAAAAAAAAATATCTCCTTCCCCTCCTAACTCAATCACCAAAATTTCAGTATTCTATTCAAGTTACACCCAATGCTTATTCATACTAGAGGTTATATTTGTGTTTTGAAAATAAAGAGTTAGCTGAATCCTAGCTACAGAAATAAACGTTGCCCTAGCTTCCTTTATTAACATGAACAATTTGCTAACTAAATGTTAGAGCCAGACCTGGTTGCAGGATCTGAGTGATTCAAGAAAAGTAAAAGTAGCTTATCTCGGTATCAAGGCCACACCTTCAAAATACCATGGCACCAGGAAACCCTTAAAGTGAAATCAATGAGACAGTCAAAGGGAAAAATCTTTCAAATACCTGAGTGCAACTTCTACTTCAAGCTCAAAACCATCCAGGACAAAAGGTAGTTCACGTAATTGGTGCACTCTCCAGTATTGCAACCATATGTATTATCTTCAGGATGCACTTCAAGCTCTTCAAAGGCTATTTAACCAGCACCTATCTCCTCTTTGCCCTTCACTATCTTATCTTTACTGATTAAAACACTAAGGTTCCCAAACCATACTTCTGTATCTTTTATAGCTTCATTCTTCCTTCATTGTTTGATCAATACTGTACTCATTTGACTCCAATAAAAGAGCACCAAAATGGCAAGTATAATTTTCAGAGGAAGGCTCACCGTCCTCTTGAGTGAATATTTATGAAACTTAGATTGTTCACATACAGGGAATGAAAACAAAATACTTCCAGCATGATTTGTGGTGATTAATGAGTATGAAATGTGTAATAAACAGGTCTAGCCTTAAACATGATGCATTATCTTTCAACTCCATGTCTTTGGTTGATATAAAAATTGTTTGAAATTTGTTTGGAGTTCAATACAAGATGGCATTGAACATGTAATGAAATGCTCTCCACTTACCTGGGAGTGCATTTCTACCAACTTTCAAGCTTGACTCCATCTGGGACAAAGCAACCTAACTTGATTGACACCACATCCACAAACATTCACTAGCTAGGAAAACCTATATCTCGTGAATGAACAAAAAAAAGGGCTGACAAAGGACACATCATATTTTCTCCCTCCAGTTTCTCGTTTCTTAATTCTGCTCTTGCATCAATAAATACCATTAAGTTTACGTCACGCCACTGTTCTTCATGGGTAAGTTAGAATATTGAAAGGATCATGAGGCTATTAAAATACGTACATATATAGATACACAACTTTTCCTAATTGGTCCATGCTATATCATCTTGGAGCAAGGACATTATCTGAGAGTTCTGAGTGCTGTTCTCCAAAACATAGTACTGCCCTTGGATGTATAAATATTTGATTGCAGTAAGAAGAACAGATATAAACTAAATCATGGATAATTTTTGTTTTGAAGTAATTTGTTCAAATAAATGCGCAAAGTACTTGAAATAATGTTTCCTTTAAATTGAGCTTTTATTATTGCATGTTATTTTAAATGTTTGTGAGGAATTAGTTTCCATGAATTCAGAAAGGCATGTTCTAGCATAGCATTTGAAGACGTTTTGCCCTTTAATTTTTTTAAATTATCATATAACATTGATAACAATAGCAGACTTCTCTTTGCAGCCAGGCATTACCTGGCAACAACTCAATCACTGATCTCTAATTTTCTTAATTCTTCACTCTTGTATGCAATGCCACAGAAGTTGGTAATTTATCAAATGAAGGGAAAGAACCTATGAGTTGAATAATTTTGTATTCTGCTATACTAATAAACTGATTAAAACTTTGCAAAATCTTGAGTTAATTAAAAGGAGTTATCAATCTGCAAATTTCATACGTGTCCTATGGATGCCATCTGGTTCAATCATCCATTGGATAAGAATCCCTTATAAATAAATCACCATAATTCTCCTTTAGGAACTGAAGAGTGGTGACAGCTGGGTACTTGTCCAATCCTCTATAGCATTCAAGTGATGCACTATTGTCTGGATGAACAAAGAATGCCAATGACCATCGAGGTTTGTTCATCATGTCGTCAGACTGTGGAATTGGAACTCTATGTTTCTAAGGGAAAGAAACAACAATTTACCTGACTATATTCCACATGAAAGTGCAAGCATAAAGATTTCTATTTTAATCTGAGTCCATGGTGAGAAATTCAATCCTTTGCGTCTCAGGGCACATGAGCAGGCTGAAGACTGAAAATGATAAACTTAGGACACACATGAACAAGTATCTCTTAGATTAATCATTGAAGAAGGTCTACACAGGATGATTGAAGCTAGGCCATTAGAATCATGCAGAAGAATTAGAAGCTGTTGTCGGGAAGACGTAAAAAAGAGTGCAGAAACGATTTACTGGCAGGTCAGCAGTGATGTGGAACTTTAACTACATGGAGAGAGTAGAGAAGGTTAAGGGAAGATTTAGTAGAGGTATTCAAAATCATTGTTTGTTAACAATAGGGAAAAATTGGTTCTTGCCACCTAAGGATTAGTAACTAGAGAATTTTTTTTGAACATGATAAAGCCATTTGGTTCTGAATACACTGACTGAAAGGATGGAAGAAATAGATTCAAACAGGAATTGGATAAATACTTGAAGCTGAACATAGCTGTAGAGTTATAAGGAAAACACAAAGAAATCAGACAAATGGATAGGTGTATCAAAGAGCCATCATAGGTACCTTGGTCTGAGTGATTCCTTCTGTATTGTCATTCTATAATACTATCTTTTTACATTCTGTTTGTGCATTAAAAACATAGACTTTTACACATTATAGTGCATGAGCTCAGTATGTTTATAAAGGCATGAAGACAAGTGAAGTGCACAGAAAGGTCATTTACCTCTTTGAATTTATCTATCATCCTTGTCACGATATTTAAACCCTATCCTTTTAATGTTGGCTCATCCAAAAATCTTCATAAATCAAAAATTGAAACATCTTTCTAGAGAGTAAAAGTCCTTTTAATTCCTGGAACTCAACATTTCGGCCTTTCATACCACTTCAAACGATATGAAATGAGGTCAGCTTGGTGGGGCAGAAATGCATTTCTAAAGCTGACTAGAATTACTGGATCTCTCTTTGCTGTTTTCTTTTCATGAAAAATATCTTCATACAATCCCTACAGTGTGGAAACAGGCCCTTCGGCCCAACAAGTCCACACCAACCCTCAGAGCATCCTACCCAGATCCATACTGCTATAACCCACCTAATCTACACATCCCTGAACACTACGGACAATTTAGCATAGCCGATCCACCCAGCCTGCACATCTTTGGACTGTGGGAGGAAACTGGAGCACCCAGAGGGAACCCACACAGACATGAGGAGAATGTGCAAACTCCACACAGACAGTCACCTGAGGCTGGAATCAAGCCTGGGCCCCTGGCACTGTGACGCAGCAGTGCTAACCACTGAGCCACTGCGCTGCCCCAAAATATGATTCCCTGACCGGGAATCGAACCCGGGCTGCAGTGGGTTTTTCTCTTAAGCATTTGCACACCGCATCGTATTTACAGTTACACAGACATACACAATAAAAACTGAAAGAACTGCGGATGCTGTAAATCAGGAATAAAACCAGAAGATGCTGGAAAAGCTCAGTGGGTCTGGCAGCATCTCTGACGAAAAAAAACAAGAGTTAACATTTTGGGTCTGATGACCCTTCCTCAGAACTGATGGTAGCTGGGAAAACTTCAGTTTATGTGCAGAAAATAGGGAGTGAGTTGGGGTAGGGAGTAAACGATGTGGAACATTCCTTGTACCAGTCCTATTCCAGCCCCCACCTACAACTCTTTCTCTGATATATCGATGATATCATTGGTGCTGCTTCCCTCTCTTGCCCGGAATTGGAAAACTTCATTGATTTTGCTTCCAATTTCCACCCTGCCCTCACTTTCTCCTGGTCTATCTCTGACTTCTCCCTTCCCTTCCTTGACATCTCTGTTTCCATTTCTGGGGATAGACTGGCCACTAATATCCACTATAAATCCACTGACTCCCACAGCTGCCTGGACTATACATCCTCGCACCCTGCTTCCTGTAAAGACTCCATCCCATTCTCTCAGTTCCTCCGTCTCCGTTGTATATGTTCATATAAGGCTAACTTTGACAAGGAAGCCTCCGAAATATCCACCTTCTTCCTCAACTGACGATTTCCCAGCACCGTTGTTGACAGGGCCCTCAACCATGTCTGACCCATCTCCCACACTTTCGCCCTCACCCCTTCTCTTCCCTCCCACAACAGCGATAAGGCTCCCCTTGTCCTTACCTATCATCCCACCAGCACCCACATCCAGGAGATCATAAGACACCATTTCCGCCACTGCCAGCGAGATGCCACCACCAGATACATACTCCTCTGTCTGCCTTCCGCAGGGACCGTTCCCTCCAGTACACCCTGGTCCACACTTCCTTCACCCCAAACACCCCCTGTCCCATGGCACCTTCCCCTGTAACTGGTGAAGGTACAACACCTGCCCATTTACCTCCTCCCTCCCCAGTATCCAAGGGCCTAAACATACCTTCCAGGTGAAGCAAAGCCTCACCTACACTTCCCAGAATCTAGTCTCCTGCATTCGCTGCTCACCATGTGGTGTCCTCTACACTGGGGAAACAAAGCATAGATTGGGAGACTGCATCGCGGAACGTCTGTGTTCTGCTCACAAAAAAGACCCTGTTGCCTGCCACATCAATACACCATGCTTTTTCCTCACCAACATATCTGTCTCTGGCTTGCTGCAGTGTTCCAGTGAAGCTCAACGCAAGCTGAAAGAACAACACCTCATTTTCCGCTTGTGGACCCTGCAGCCTTCCGGACTCAATATTGAGTTCAATAATATTAGGGCCTAAACTCTCCCATGTCCCAGCCCCCTATCCCACACACCAGGCCTTATTATCACATAGCCTGCCATTACACACCACCTATTGTTATCACTAACAGTCCCCATCAACAACTATTCACCCTCCCAACCAGATCATTATCAACTCCTTTGTCTGTCCAACTGTCTTTCTCTCTCTTTGGGCTCTATCGTATCGTTTACTCCCTACCCCACCCCACTCCCTATTTTCTGCATATAAACTGAAGTTTTCCCAGCTACCATCAGTTCTGAGGAAGGGTCACCAGACCTAAAACATTAACTCTGATTTTTTTCTTCACAGATGCTGTCAGACCTGCTGAGCTTTTCCAGCAACTTGTGGTTTTGACACAGACATACACATTTGACTGGACAGTTTTGAATGAAATAAAATACACTTTTTTTCAAACAGACCAGTAGACAATTGCACTAACAATGGACTGTATCTTAGTAAATATAATTGCTATTTCATATCATGTTCAACAAATTTACAGATATTGTTCTCTAATTGAGAAATCTATTAAAATAAGTTGTAAGTTAATCAATAATTTAAATGCATGGAGAGAAATTTTATTTGCTATGATCTTAATTATTACTATTTTACCAAAATAAATGCAGTCTCACCGTGGAAATCAATGCGTCAGATGACCATCTTTGTAGGGTATCAGCTATGTTGAGTAAAAGAGTATTTGGAATGTAGGGAGCAGCAATGAACTGGCCAGACTTGTGCATGACCTAAAATACAAATGTTGTTAAAACTCCACCAACAACTGCGTCAAACACCATTTCTAGTTTGATTTTCCCCTTTCTCCCAATTTGGGAAGAATTCTGCTATGCACTCACAGCTAGTGGTGATTCTTTGTCTATCTAGATAATGAGAAATAACAGGTTATTTTCTTTATGGAAGGCATTAAATTCAATCCTTCTCTTGACTGAAATCTGCAAAGTTTCATGAAGGCCATTGTATGACAGTGAGCTGCATTTGACTCTCTCCTTTATAACACAATCGTTCTGTAACTAATTGCAATTTCCCCATTGTGATTGTACCAGGCAAAGGATTGAACCAGTGAATTCCTGGCCTTCTATGATTTGTTGCCACAACAAGTAGTCAGTTTCTATCTGAGCCATTCCATATTCTCGTATTTTGACTTCCCTTTATAAATTGTTACAGGCACAATATGTATAAAATTTCTATAAATGAATTAAATTAAATAAATGGTAAATTACTTGTGATTAGCAAGTCAAACTTTATTTCCAATTAAGTATTGCTCAAAAAGAGCATCAAGCTGATGGAAGACTGAGCACAGTAAGCAATCCAGAGGTCTGAAATTTCAGCTTCGAGGGAGGCTGCTAGGGAAGATTCCATATTTGTGGGAGCACCTTGGGAGATAATGCCAACTTTTTGGGGCTTTCATTTTCAGCGGATAAAGGCTGGGTGGGAACTGCAGTCACGTGAGTTGACCTGGGAAAGAGGTCTGACGCAGCCAGAGGTGCTGCTGAATGGAAAAAAAAGGTTCTCCAGCCCTTACTGCACACACCCACTGACTATCTACTAAACTCCCCTTTTGCCATTTACTACACCTCATCCGCCTCCACCCACCCCACTGCAGCACCCAGGCCTGCTACACAAATCAATCCATACCCTTAAAAGGTAACAGTGAAAAGCAAAAAACTGGGGTTGTTTCCCTGACATTGAGAATTACAGAGTTTGAACCCACTCACCATTTTTAAAGAGCTCCCAAATCAACCAAAATTCATAGAAAATCCAAGCCAGAAATTTCGTGCTTATTGCTGTCTGAATCAACAACTATTTTAAGAATAATAAGCTATTTGATAACATGAATCAAAGTGTGATAACATTTCTTGTTAAATTGTATGAATGAACTTAATATTGGAGGGGAATCACATAGGGTTATGCAATTAATAAGTTTGTTCTCAAATGATAAGGCACCAACATTATCAATGCTGTTAACTTTAGCTTCAGGATGTCATTCATATATTTATTTACATTATGAAAGAAATATGAGAGGGTATTGTTTGGCATAGAATAATTGTTTTGACTACCTAATGACTAGGATTTCGTGGTGCCAGTGAAGGCAACAGAGTCATTATGGTGTAGAAGGAGACCATTTGGTCCAATATGTCTGCTCTAGCTCCTCGAGCATTTTGATTTAATGTCAAACTCTTGTCTTTTCCTGTAACCCTGCAAATTGTTTGTATTCAAATAATCACTTTATGCCCTCTTGAATACCTAAATTGAAACTGCATCCCCTACACTTCCGATGATTCTAGATTGACATTTACCTCCAACCCTCCATTCTTATCTTGAAAGAGTAAAGTGAATGTTCCATAATCAGAATGCTCTCCACATCGCACTTGATCTTCCTTCACAGAGGATCTCTGTATTGGTGGGTAGTATGCAGTTCTCAGAGTTGTAAAATTTTGATTACCTTTGAGAGATGACATAACAGTTTATAATGTAGAAATTATGTTGAAAGGCAAAGTTATATTTAAAAACTATTCTTATGAATACCCAAATGAAACAAATAGCAATCATTATTCTTCTATTTCCTGTAGAAGTCTTGACACATTTTCCATTTAAACAATCATACTATCAGTTTGAATAATTTTTTCTCTTCTCAAATTCCTACTGCTTCTCGCATTTTCTGAAGCTGTTGATTCTTTATTAGCATACAGCTCTATAAACTGCTCTCTCTACCTGTCCTGCCACCTTTCGTGATCTGGATACATAAAGAATCATGTCCCTCTGCTCCTGCACCCCCTTAAATTTTGTAACCTCTATCTTATACTGTCTGTAAGTTTCTCCCAACCAAAATGCACCGCCTCATACCTCTCCACATTGAACTTCATCCACCACATATCTGACTCTGCTACCAACTTATCCATGTTGTTCTGGAACTATAAACCGTTCTTATCATAGTTTAGCATGCTTCCAAATTTTGTGTCATCCATAATCTTAAAATTGTCCCTTGCCCATCAAGATCTAGATCATTAATATATAATGGAAAAGTAAGGGTCCCAGCACCAACCACTGGGAAGCTCCAATCCAAACCTTCCTTCATCTTAAAAATATCTTTCCTATTACTCAGCCATTTTTTTTTATCCATGTTTCACTGTCTCTTTTATTCTATGAGCTATAACTTTTTTAAAGTGTTGTGTGGCATTGTATTGAATGCTATGTTGAGAAATGTTTGAAAGGTTGAAATTCAAAAATTTATCAATAGAGGAGAGGATTATAGGGATAGTGTGGATAAAAGGCATTGAATTGTTTGATCCGCAATTGTATTAAATGGGAAAGCAGGCTCAACAGTCTAAATGGACTACTCCTGTTCCTGTGTTTCTAGGTCCTTTGAAAGTCCATGTTTACCACATCAACACCAATACCCTCGTTGATTCTTCCTGTTACCTCTTCAAAAACTCCAAGTTAGGCAACTAGAATTTCACTTTTAGCAATCTATGCTAGCTCTTTCTAAACAAACCAACTTTTTTTTCCATGTGATTACTAATTTTATCTGAAATAACTCTTTCTAGGTATACCACCACCATTGAAGTTACTGAACTAACTGACTTGTAATTACTGGACTTATCCTAAAAGCTTTTTAAAACAACGGTATAAAGTTTGCCATTCTCTAGTGCTATGGCATCTCTTTTGAATCTAGGAATGACTGAATGATTATGATGAGTGTCTTTGCAATTTCCACTCTCACTTCTATCAATATCCTTGGATCTATTCATCTTGTTTCAGTACTTTATCATCCTTAAATATCGACAGCCTATCCAATTTTAGTGAAATCCACTCTTGTGACAAAGCTGCCTTCTCTGAATGGCAAATAATGCCATTCAGGTCTGCTCTTCTACTCAATAAGATTGAGGATTTTCAGATCGGCTACAATCAACTTTTCTGCCTTATTGCCAGTACCCTCGATTCCCTTTCTAATTAAAAATCTAAGTATCTCAGCCTTAAACATATTAATGACCCAACTTTGACAGCTCTCCATGGTAGAGATTTCTACAGATTGACTAGCTTCTGAGAGAAACAAGCCCCCCTTATCGCTGTCTTAACTGGGTGACTTCTGATTCTAAGAATATGCTGTCTGGCCCTAGACTCTTCCCACAAAGGGAGACAACCTCTCAGCGTCTATCCTTTCAAGCCACTTAAAAATCTTGTGTGTTTCAATAAGGTTGTCTCTCATTCCTATGAAGTCCAAAGAGTGCAGGCCCACCCTACTCAATCTCTCCTGATAGGAAAATGCCATACCCAGAATCAACCTGGTGAACCTTCTCTGAATTGTATTCAATGCCAGTATATCTTTTCTTAGATAAGGGGCCCAAAGATGTTCAGTATACTGACTGTGGTCTAATTAGTGCCTTGTATAGTTTTAGAAGATCTTGCTATTTTTATACTACATTTCCTTTGAAATAAAGGTCAGCAATCCATTTGCCTTCCCTGTTACTCATTGAATTTGCCACCTGTGAATTTTTTCACATAACCCCTCTTCGCTTCTTCACCTTCCCTTGTGAATGTTCTGTATCCTTCCAGGTTCTCAACTGTTTTTTTGACCTGTCACCTGTCAGATAATTTAGTGTACCTTGATTGAGTAGCTTCCACTGATGTGTTGGACATGACTGTGAAAGGTGACAGGCCATTTAAACATGGATGCAATTGCAGTAGATTTTACTATTGTCAAAATAACTACTTACTCCCCATTCTTTTGTGCTGGCTGGTAAAGAAATCACTCTCCAGGCCCAGGCCCAGTGCAATAATTTTCAGAATTCGGACAGACAATTGCTGACAGGCTTTGTAGAATGATTCCATACTTCTTGTAAACTCAGGAGCATGGCCAACAGGCCAATTCTAATATAAGTGAAAAAAAATGGATGTTTAAATCTATATTTTCTTGAGTGAAATAAGAAGTTAAAGAAGTATGCCTGCAATGTTTTCATTACTTTAAATTTTAAATTGATTTAGAGAATAAAAGTCAATTTCAGATTTCAAGCACCTTTTATTATTTAATTCAGTCATTAAACGATCAAAACACTTCAGAGGCTAGAAGTTTGAAGACCCCAGTTTTGGAGACAGGTCATGATTAGCTAGCCTGCCCTATTCAGATTAAGATGGGCAACTCATGAATTTAGTGCACCAACATCATTGAATGGTTGTAGCATTGGCCTCAGTGATTCTTAGGCTGCTTAGCTCTACTAAATGCTGCTTGTGACCTCTGTGCTGTAGGTGGTGAGTTCCTTGCAACATTGATAGCAGATCACATTGTCCACCAACCTTCCTTGTAAAGGTTGATCCACTATTGAAAGTAAGTACACTGCTGAAGTGAAGGAGGTTAGTTAAATGAAGATTTTGGGAGGCTGAGTGACACAGCACACTAGTGAGTACACTCCTGGGTTTGGTGCCATTGCCTTGAAGATGATGAACAAGATGAAGAACAGAAGTGAATACTTGTTTCCCTTGGTTGGCAGGAAACTGTCATGCGCTAGCCCGAGGAAGAAATGGGAGCACCTTGCCAGGCAGGAAGGTGATGTGCCTTTTGGGCATCAGAAGTTCTGAGGAAGGGTCACCGGACCCGAAACGTTAACTCTGTTTTCTCCTCCACAGATGCTGCCAGACCTGCTGAGCTTCTCCAGCAACTTTGTTCATGTTCAAACTTAACAAGTTTGGATGATATTCAGACTAGGGCTGACAAGTGGCAAGTAACATTCATGCCACACAAATGCCAGCCAATTACCATGTCCAACAAGAGAGAATCTAACCATAGCCACTTGACATTAAATGCTTTATCATCACTGAATTCCCTACAATCAACATCCTGGCAGTTACCATTGACCAGAAACTCAAGTAGGCTGGCCATATAAACACAGTGGCTACAAGAATAGGTCAGAGGCTAGGAACATTGCAGCAAGTAACTCACCTCCTAACTCCCCAAATTTACAAGGCACGTGTCAGGAGTCTGATGGAATACTGTCCACTTGTCTGGATGGGTGCAACTCCAGCAACACTCAAGAAACTTAACACCATTTAGGACAAAGCAGCCAACTTGACTAGCCTTGCATCTACAAATATCCATTCCCTCCAACACCGGTACTCAGTAGCAGCAGTGTGTGTTATCTACAAGATGCACTGCAGAAATTTGCCAAAGATCCTTAGACAGCACTTTCCAAACCTATGACCACTTTGGTTCAGAAGCATAAGGACAGTAGATACATGGGAACACCACTACCTCCAAGTTACCCCTCCCAAGTCACTCACCATCCTGACTTGGAAATATATACCATTCCTTCACTGTCACTGTGTCAAAATCCTGGGAATTCCTTTCCTAAGCGTATTGTGGGTCATCCTACAGCACAGGGACTGCAACGGTTCTAGAATGCACCTCATTACCACTTTCTCAAGGGAACCTAGGGATGGGCAATAAATGCTGGCTACCCAGTGATACCCAGGTTCCATGAATGAACAAATTAAAAACTGAACTTCATTCCTGAAACCATTCTTTTAAATCATTTTACCACCCTCTTGAAAGGCTTCACATCCAACCTAAAGTCTGATATTTAGAATTGGAGCTAAACCAGTGATTTATGAAGTTAATCATGCTCTCGATGGGTTTGCACTCTGTGCATCTACTGGTAAAGTTCAGGAACCTGTTTACCTTTTTAACTATCTTCTCATCTAGCCTAGTACCTTTGATGATAAGTAACATATGCAGGCATTCTGAGCGTGCACCAACTTTAAATTTCTTTTAATTAATTCTTGGAATATGGATGTTGCTGTATATTGGTCATCTTTGATTGTCCTTGAGAAGGTGGTAATGAGTTACCTTCTCAAACTGTTGCAGTTTTTAAGGTGTATCCTTCGTTTTATATTGCCTCTCCTCATTCTTTCCACAAAATGTGTCACTTCACATTTTTGTGCATTAATTTTCATCAACCATGTGTTCAACCATTCCAGCAGCCTCTCACTATCTATCACTATTTATCATAGTTCCAGTATAATGGGAACTGTACTACATGAGATTGTTTAACAGGCTCCAACTTCTGCAAAAGACTGCATTTTGAGGTTAGACAATAATTGCTTTAGCAGTTTGCTACAAGCAATGAGTTGGGGGAGGGGTAACTTTTGAAACACGTCTCAATCAGCTCAGACCATTAAGGAATCTCAGTGGCTGATACATCCTGGAGTTATTAAGATAGTTGTTGGCATTTTGTGTAGCTGTGTCTTTCTAGTTGATAAATCTAACTCTATTGAGCTGTATAAAGAGTTGTTTTTAGCCTTCTCTTTTGTTAGGCAGGAGTTTCTACCCTAGATCTAGTTGGGTGAAAGCTCTTTATCTCTGCTATAAAAATAGTGAGCCTCTGGAATGCTGAGTTAAAAGAACTTAACACAAAACTTTATTGAAGGTATATGATACAATGGGTTCAAATTAAGGAGATAATAGATGGTTGTAATGCAAAGTTTTTTTGTGGGACATGGGCTTTGCTGACTGGCCAGTATTTATTGTCCATTCCAGCTTCCCTTGAGAAGGTGGTGGTGAGCTGGCTTCTTGAACCGCTGCAGTCCACATGCAATGATATTAGGGAGGGAGATGCAGGATTTTGACCTAGCAACAGTGAAGGAATGGAGATGCATTTCCAAGTAAGGATGGCTTGGAGGGGAACTTGCAAGTGGTGGTAGTTCCATGTATCTGCTCCCTTGTCCTTCTAGATGGAAGTGGTCATGGGTCTGGAAGGTGCTATCTAAGGATACTTGGTGAATTTCTGCAGTGTGTCTTGTAGATAGTACACATTGCTGCTACTGAGCATCAGTGTTGGAGGGAGTGATGCTCATTGATACGGAAATGATGAAGAGGGCTGCTTTGTCCTGGATGGTGTTAAGTTCTTGAATTTTGTTGGAACGGCACTCATCCAAGCAAGTGGGGAGTGTTCCACCAGACTCCTGACTTGTGCCTTGCAGATAGTGGACAGCTTTTGGGGAGTCAAGAGGTAAGTCATTCGCTGCAGTATTCATAGCCTTTGACTTGCTCTTGTAGCCACTATATTTATGTGATGAATCTAGTTGAGCTTCTGGTCAATGGTAACCTTCAGGATGTTGATAGTGAGGGATTCAGTGATGGTAACACCACTGAATGTCAAGGTGGGGGGTTGTTCTTTAGATTGTCTTATTGGAAATGGTCATTGGGATGTGAGGGATATCAAGGATTGATCACACTGTTAATAAAGAGTGAAGTTCCCTGCAGCCTGTCTATTCTTTTTCCTGTAATTTTTTTAAAACAATAAACTGCACATAAAATTCTAATCCTACCATAGAGATAATATATAAGGAGAGAAAAGAACCTCAGTCCAAATTTTGAGATCTTACATGACTTTCAGATAATGATGATAGATTAAAAACTTCTTTCAGGTCTTCACATTTTGTGGAATTTAATCTGTAAAGAACACAACATTTAATAAACAGAGATGTATAGAATTAATACTCAGATCATCTTCAAGCCTGCTCCTTTCATGTACTATGTAAGATTTATGCCTATCAACAATTACCCAAATAGAGCAATCAACACAGAGAAAAATTCTGCATTAATATTCCTTGATCCCAAGAGTAAAACAAACTATAGTCTACAACACAAACGGATTCCTACATCTCATTGTCAATTGGCAGAGATATCAGTTAAGTAATCCCGGACTGGTTTGTTTAAGGAATAATGAGATAATCAATATAAAAGTGTGATTTTCAGCTGCTGTTAATTAGTTGTGATGGTATCAAAATTCCTCTGCACTAACGATGGCAAAGTAATCTTCAGGGGATCAGCATAATGCAACTTCCATTCAGTGTTTTCTTCAGATCATGTGCTTGCATTTGGGATTGAAGTATCATGAGTCATATTGAATGACATTTTTGAGGGAATCTTACCTTTCTAATTCAATCCAACCTTGGCTTGGAATCTCAGAGTCCAGTATACGGGCATATTGTTGTTTAATGTCCTTTGGAAGCTGAAAGAAATTCTTGCTGATGTCCATCATTTTAAACACCTAAGGAGCATAATTGTTTGAAAGATTACAAAATGCGCATTCTATGTTTATTATAGCAACACTGGGGTTTCACTAGATTAATAAACTTTAGCATTTGCACTTTTTAAGCCTAATCTCCTGTTTGATTAATTATGTCCTTCTGTTCATCAATTTCTACTCAGTGCTTTTATTTAATTTTAATCTTGTGATTTCTCAGCTTTTCAGTAGTTTAATATTCTTCATCTCTTCTCTCTTTACATTCCCATCTTCTCTTCTTTTAGACAATAAAGACATTCATCATGAAAGGAAAATTGGAAATTGAAGTATGAGTCCTCTAGTAGATCAGTATAGACATATACGAACAAATGAATTAGGGGCTGGAGCAGGCCATCATGTCAACTCATATTGTAAATGAGTTTGTGAAATGTTAGTTGATGTAATATTTCTGGAGAGATTATAAATATGTTCTTATGGTAATTGTTTATAGTTTTATTGAATTGCAAATATCTGTGAACTTCAAAATTGAATGAAGAGTGATCTTACTCCAATTATAAAGGTGATTTCATGATGTGGTATTTTGGAGTGTCCTTCAAACTCAGTAAAAAACAGGGAGATGATCCAGATCATCTATACTGCTGCGCAACTGATTCTGTGGCAGAAGAAGAACATTTAAAGTCCTTGTACCTGCAACTAACTCATGTCAATCTCATTGACTGTGTCTGAGGATATTGGCTTTTCCTCCTGCGGCAGCTGGAACACAGTAATGATGTCTGTCGGAAACTAAAATAAAAGAAAGATCTTTTGTAGAAACAGACCTTTCTGTTGCTAGAGCAATAGATTTTTATAGCAACAAATCAACTCTGGTGACATATACCATTTTATGCAGACTTCACTTCATAAACCATGAAGACCATTGAAGGTTTGCCACTGGAGAAGTGCTTTGTTCCTTTCCCCATGGAAAGGAGCAAATGAGATAGGGAAGAGGTGTGTGTAGTATAGGTAGCCAGTATTTCACTTAAAATCTTCATTTTAGGGAATTCCGTTCAGCATCATTCCATCTTCTATTCGTTATGCTATTGACAAAATGAGAGTCAAATCCACACTACATTAATTACTGTCAATGTTGTGCCTCCTCACCTGCAAATTAAAATGCCCTTCTGAAATAAATCTACTCAGAATTTATATTGATGTATCTTATCTGGGTGCATTTGTGATACTTAATATATTTAAATTGATGAGATGAAATTTTAAGATGTGCTTTACATATTTCACATTTTTAGATGTGACACATTTAAATTTTGCATTTGGGCATGTGTCATAATTGTTAAGCAGGTTAAAAACAAAACTCTTAAAGTATAATCATCGAGCAAGTTAACAGTTCAGAACAGTGAGCAAAACAAATATAAACATGTTAATATCTACATGGCATAATGCAAAGGACTTTTGTTAAAAATTAATCACTCTTTATTTTGGTAAAATTACAACATAGTAGAACAAGACCACTCATCTTGTTTCATTAAGCATTCATGTTAATATGCCCAACAAATTGAAGAATACTATATGTAAAATGAGAATATAAAATGAATACACACATCTTGATCTTCGATCCCAGTGTTTTTCAGGTACACAAACCCAATGTCTCTGAAGGCTCTTATGATCTCTCTGGATATTCGTTCCATTTCAGCAGCTGAGGGCTCAGGTGTTCCTAAGCCAACTGCACCAAAATCAATCACTTCGATGTTCATCTTGTTGCAAAGTTTCTGTCTCCTTCAGTGCTTTCAGTAAAATAGGCAGAACAAATTGATTGGAATAGGATCGACTAAAAATGAAAATGAAACCAAATTTGCATGGAAAATAAGTATATGAAGTAAATTAGTTTTAAATTCAACAAGATCTATTGAAATTAATGCCAAATTTTGGGCTTGAGAAATAGGGCTTGGTGTCACTTATTTGACAGATTCTATGAATGCCCCAAAATGGCTTCTGCCGTGCTTATGCTCAAATGTGAGGTAAGACACAATGGATGTTAGAATGGTATAGATCTTAGTATAAGCCTTGAATATCCATCAGAAGTATGGAGACCAGGCAGATTGGAACAGAATCAGCATGCAATGCTGATTTGATACCTTTGTTCCCAGTTAACACAACTTAAGACACAAATGCTTAGCAGCAGGAAGAATACTTTTGTAGTGCCTTTTCAAGGGGTCACTTTCTGGTAAGCAGCTGGTTAATTTCTTCTTCAGTTGTTTGGATTGTACAAACTTAGCACCTTCCATTGTTGTTTCAAGTTTCAAAAAGGTAAAGAAATTGGTATGATAGGTGCTGAATAACATTTTGCTAATTTCTGTCAGGCAAACCAACTGCTCCTAGACATGGATGTAATAATACAGCAATCTCTTTAGAATACAGCATGATCTGGGGACTGTAGTAATGCACCTACCTCTGGGATCAAATTCCACCTGCTCCAGATATCTATTGCAACATCTGAACAGGTTGATTTAAAACGAATCAGAGGGCGGCAGAGATGTCACTGAGAGGAATTCTGGGAGATGGCACTGCAATCACCATGACCAGGGAGTGGATTGCATTAAGACACCCTCACATGAGGAAGAGTATTGAATCAGAAGGCAGCAGAGATGTCACTGAGTGGGCACTGTAGTCACCATTGACTGGTCTGAATATTGCAGAGGAACTGGTGTCAAGGAATGATAAAGCCCAAGATACTACATTAGTGTAGTGTTGCCCCTCCACCTCCTCTAACCAAAAAAAAAGCTCTGCAAAGAGGACAGGCAAGGTAAGACTCTTATCTTTCTTTTAAGTGTACAAGGGTGGAGATGGTAGTTAGGGCAGTGGTACACTCCTACTGTCAGATGTGGGAAATCAGGCAGCAGTCTAGTGTCCCTACCAACTATGTCTGCAGGAAGTGTGACCAGCTGCAGCTCCTCCCAGACTGCATTGGAGAAGCAGCTGGACACACTGTGGTGCACACAGGGGGCAGAGAGAATGATAGACACTCGCTTTAGGGAGGTGGTTACACCACAAGTCCAGACAGATAGATAGGTGACTGCCAGGAGAAGCAGGCAGGTAATACAGGAGTCTCCGGTGGATATTCCACTCTCAAACAGGTATACTGTTTTGGATACTGTTGGGGGGAATAGTCTCTCAGGTGATGGTATAAGCAGCAGCCAGGCCTGTGGCACCACAACTGGTTCTGCTGTAGAGCAGGGTGGGGCAAAGTCCAGGCGAGTGATAGTAGTAGGTGACTCAATTGTCAGAGCAACAGACAGGTGCTGCTGTGGCCATGAATGAGACTCTAGGATGGTGTGTTGCCTCCCTGGTGCCAGGGTCCTGGATGTCTTGGAGCAAGTACAGGACATCCTGAAACGTGAGGGAAAACAGACAGAAGACATTGGCACAAATGACATAGATAGGAAGAGAGAAGAGGTCCTGAGAGGACAATTCAGGGAGTTAGGGAGGGAGCTAAAAAGCAGGACTACCAGAGTAGTAATCTCAGGATTACTACTCATATCACGGGCTAGTGAGGTTAGGAAGACAGAGAGAGCACAGTTGAACACATGGCTACAGAGCTGGTGTAGGAGGGAGGGCTTTAGATAAATGGATCATTGGGATGCCTTCTGGGGAAGATGGGACCTGCACAAGAAGAGAGACAACAAGGTGCAGAGCTGGATGAACACAGCAGGCCAAGCAGTATCATAGGAGCAAAAAGGCTGACGTTTCAGGCCTAGACCCTTCATACAAGAAGGACGGGTTGCACCTGAACTGGAGGGGCACCAATATCCTGGGCAGGAGGTTTGCTAGAGCTCTTCGGGAGGGTTTGTACTAATGTGGCAGGGAGTGGGAACCGGAACAACAGGCCAGTAAGTGCAGGGACTGGGGACAAAGGAGAGACCAAGATATGCATAGTGCAGAGTAAGAGCAGGCAGAGGGAAGTTGCGGGGCTCAGAGGGACTGGAGTGCATTTACTTCAATGTAAGAATTATAACAGATAAGTCTGATGAACTAACAGCATGGATTACTGCATGGAATTATTACCATAATGGAGACATGGTTAAAGGAGGGGCAGGACTAGCAGCTTAACATTGCAGGATATCGCTGTTTTAGACAGGACAGGAAGGGAAACAAAAGGAATGGGGGAGTTGCATTGCTGATCAGGGATCACATCATTGCTGTGTGGAGGGAGGAAAAATTGGAGGGATTTTGCAGTGAGGCATTATGGGTGGAGCTCAGGAATAGGAAGGGTGAAATTAAAATATTGGGAGTTTTCTAAAGACCTCCCAACAGCCCATGGGAGATAGAGGAGCAGTATGTAGTCAGATACTAGAAAGTTGTGAAAAAATTTCCAGTGAGTGACTTCAACTTTCCTCTTATTGACTGGGAGTCCCTTAGAGCCAGGGGCTTGGATGGAGATCAATTTGTTAGATGTGTCCAGGAGGGCTTTCTGAGACAGTATATTGACATTTTAACCAGAGAGGAGGCCATACCAGCCTTGGTATTAGGGAATGAGCCAGGACAGGTGGTTGAGATTTCAGTAGGAGAGCATCTTGGGCTTAGTGACCACAAATTCATCAAGATTTCGAGTGGTCATGGACAAGGACAAGAGTGGCCCTTGGATGACAGTCCTTAATTGGGCAAGGGCCAATTACATACAAGTTAGACAAGAACAGGGGAATGCAGATTGGGAGCAGTTATTTGAGGGCAAATCTATGTCTGGCATGTGGGAGGCTATTAAAGGCCCGTTGATTAAAGTGCAGGACATGCATGTCCCTGCAAACCCAAAAGATAGGAATGGTAGGATTCAGGAACCATGGATGACAATGGAAATTGTAAACTTAGTCAAAAGGAAGCATACGATACGTCTAGGCAGCTAGAATCTGACAAAGCCCTTGAGGAGTATACAGAAATTAGGAAGGAACTTAAACACAGAATTAGGAAGGCTAAAAGGGGCCATGAAATGTCTTTAGCAAACAGGATCAAGGAGAATCCGAAGGCTTTTTACGCAAATATTAGAAGAAAGAGGGTAGCAAGGGAAAGAATAGGTCCCCTCAAGACAAAGGAGGAAAGTTATGTGTGGAGCCACAGGAAGAGGGAGAGATCCTTAATAAGTACTTTGTATCAATATTTACTGAGGAGAAGGACATTACTGATGTTGAGGTCAGGATGAGTGTGTGAATACTGTAGAGAATGTCAATATATTAAAGGAGGAAGTTTTGGGTATCCTAAATTGCATTAAGGTAGACAAGTCCCCAGGGCCAGATGCGATCTATTCCATGTTACTGCGAGAAGCAAGGGAAGAAATAGCTGGGGCATTAGCAGATATCTTCACATCCTCCTTGACCACAGGTGAGGTTCCAGAGGACTGGCGATTAGCCAATGTTGTTCCCTTGTTTAAGAAAGGAAGTAGGGATAATCCAGAAAATTATAGGCCGGTGGGTCTGACATTTGTGGTGGGGAAGCTCTTGGAGAAGATACTGAAGGACAAGATATATGCACATTTGGAAGAAAATGGACTAGTTAGCAACAGGCAGCATGGTTTTGTACGGGAATGTCATGTCTCACCAACCTGATTGAATTTTTTGAAGAGGTGACAAAGATAATTGATGAGGAAGAGCCGTAGATGTAGTTTATATGGACTTTAGCAAAGCATTTGATTAAGTCCCACAAGGCAGATTGGTACAAAAACTAAAATCACATGGGATTCAGGCTGGGCTGGCTAGATTGATACATAAATGGCTTGGTCATAGCAGACAGACGGTAGCGGTGGAAGGGTGTTTTTCAGAATGGAGACCAGTAACTAGTGGTGTTCCGCAGGGTTTGGTCTTAGGTCCTCTGTTGTTTGTAGTATATATAAATGATCTGGAGGAAAATGTGAGCAGTCTGATTAGTAAATTTGCAGATGACATGAAGATTGGTGGAGTTGCTGATAGTGCCAATGATTGTAAAAGGATACAACAGGACATAGATAGATAGATTGGTGACTTGGGTACACAAATGTTCGATGGAGTTTAATCCAGACAAATGCAAGGTGATGTATTTTGGAGGATCAAATTTAGGTATGAATTATACTGTAAATAGCAGAACCCTTAGGAGCATTAATATATAGATGGATCTGGACGTGCAGGTCCACAGTTCCCTAAAAGTGGCAACAGAAGTGGTCAAAGTGGTTAAGAAGGCATATGGCATGCTTGCCTTCATCAACCAGGGCATGGAGTACAAGAGTTGGCAGCTATATAAAACCCTTAGGCTGCATTTGGAGTCTTGTGTGCAGTTTTGGTCACCACATTACCAGAAGGACGTGGAAGCTTTGGAGAGATTGTAGAGAAGGTTCACCGGGATGTTGCCCGGTCTTGAGGGGATTGGCTATGAGGATAGGTTAAAAAGGCTAGGATTGTTTCACTGGAAAGACGACAGCTGAGAGGAGACCTGATAGAGGGCTACAAAATTATGAGAGACATAGATAGGGTGGATAGTTAGAGACTTTCAATTACAGGGGGCACAGTTTTAAGGTGAGAGGGCAAAAGTTCAAGGGAGATATGCAAGAAAAGTTTTTCACGCAGAGAGTGATAGGAACCTGGAGTGTACTGCCAGAGGAGGTGGTGGAAGCAGGCACATTGGTGACATTTAAGAGGCATCTGGATGGTTACATGAATAGGGAGAGAATAGAGGGATATGGACCGAATAAGGGCAGAAAGTTTATTTTTTAGTTTAGTTAAGGCATGATGATCAGCACAGGCTTGGAGGGCCGAAGGGCCTGTTCCTGTGCCATACTTCTCTTTTGTTCTTTTTTTCTTGATTTGACTTGGAGAATAAATAAAGGCACAGCAGAATTGAATAAACTTCTGGTGGAGGAAGAGGAGAGTAT